GGTTTACCCCAAGTGTCTTTAATAAGACGAAGAATGGATTTGTTAAAGGGGAGACTTAAAGAAACTTGTCTCTCCTGATCGATGTTGTCAAATACGGGGTCGACATCAGTGGACGGAGGTTGTTCAACATCGAGATTGAGGGCTTGTGTCATTTGAAGCATGAGAGCCGAATACGAGAAGTCATCCGAGGAGGATGAAGCGTGGCTGCCCCTTGTATCTGGGATAGGCGGTGGTTCGGGCTCATGGGAGGACTATGATTGGTGTGCCTCTGACGATGCAGGAGAGCCTGGAGATGAAGGATAGTCTGATGGACCAAAGCCCTCCGCGGGGGGAGCTTGATGCTCCTGGATCGGAAGGTGTTCGAAGGCAACCTGGGATGGTATCGGGTCAGACAGTTCGGGCTCTGGGGGCAAGGCCTCGCGAACTTGTCACATTCGGGCTCATGGGAGGACTATGATTGGTGTGCCTCTGACGATGCAGGAGAGCCTGGAGATGAAGGATAGTCTGATGGACCAAAGCCCTCCGCGGGGGGAGCTTGATGCTCCTGGATCGGAAGGTGTTCGAAGGCAACCTGGGATGGTATCGGGTCAGACAGTTCGGGCTCTGGGGGCAAGGCCTCGCGAACTTGTCACAACATCCACTTGGATGGAATGAGTGGGCGAGCGGACGGGGCCGTAGTGCTCGAGGCCAGGGCAGTCACATGAGGGCGAGCCGGGTTTAGAAAGGGAGCGGCATAGGGGAGCTCCGATGTCATTCTTGGTCACTTAGCTTGGTCAGGCTTGTATCCCCCGTACCAGGATCGCCACATGAGGGGGTCAAAATGGTATGGTACCATTGGAAAAGGGTAGAAGTTGCCATGCGACGGGGCCGATGCCGGGGGAGAGATACGCTTTCTCTTCTCCGTTTTCTTTCTTGGAGGCGAGGGAGGAACCTCCAGGTCGGATGCCAAGCTTTCAGGTGCCCTCCCTGATTCAGGGTTGGAATGGGCTGAGGCCGGGCTGGACTATGGCGCAGCCACGCTGAGGCCAATGCTCGGAATATGGGGCGGCATCGGGGGGGGGCGCCGCATCATGGGCGTCATCTCCATCTGAGACTAAGTCGGGGACTTCTCTGGACGATTAGGATAGGAGAATGCAGAGAGGACTGCAGGAGTTCCACTCTAGGGAGTTTGTCCTTTCTGGGCTTTTTAGGAGCGGGCTTGGGCTTCTTCTTCGAGCCAGCATCATGCGCTCAGGACTTTTGAGAAGGTGGCAGCTTGTGCTTACCAGACACCTTTGCTTTGCCAGCAATCTCCTTAAATGGTAGCACAGGAGTAGAATCAGAAGTGGATTGGCCTGCTGGAAGTCTATCGGCAGAAAGAGCTGGTGATCTGGCCACTTCTGAGGATGAAGTGGGATTCATGGCTGCTTGCCAAAGGTAAGACCGAAGTCTTTGGAGCCTCTGTTTTAGTGTGGGTCTGGTGAGGCTTTTACAAGCAGGGCACGAATGGGTAGGATGATCCTCACCCAAACAAAAAAGGCACTGGCTGTGAGCGTCTGAAAGTGCGATTTTATTCGCACAAGTTGAACACCTTTTAAAATGAGATGGAGAGGCCATAAGCGAAAAGAAAACAGAAAAGACAGGGGAGGGGGGGGAAAGGGAAAAATAAACAAACAAAGGGCTTGGAGGATCACTATGTAGTGTAATTAAGGTAAAGAAAACAAACAGAAGCTCAAAAGAGCCTAGAAAATAGCCAAAAAGGCGATAGCGAAGCGCTCTATCTTTCCTGAGAACTGTTCAGCTCGGTGGAAAAAAGGAACTGAGGAAGATGGTGGGTGGGAGGAGCATATGCCTCATGGAGGATCACACCATAAAATTGTTACTTTTAGCTCTAGAATCTTCCGAGAGAGTCAGCGCAGGCCCAGACAATACCCATATGTATGCATTCACAGAGACCACGAAAAAGAAAGTTATCTTTCTGGATGACATCCTTTAGAACCCACCCACAGTACAGTCACTGGACATGCTGACCTGTGGAGTCTGCAAATCATACTACAAAAAGTAATTTTTGGTGGCTTTGACGGCTAGGATCCTCAATTCATTCCTGCTGTTTGGCTTTGTCATAATTTTCTTTTAGACATTTTGTGTAAATGTGTATTTCAGATTGGATAGGGAAGAGACCAATTATATATATGATATTGATAGTATAGACAATCTTTTTAATGCTTATTCATTATCTTACAAATCATATTCATATAATACTTTATTTTACTGTTAGTCATCTCTGCAGGAGGGAGCAGACAGAAGGATGGCATCCAAAGAATGAATAATATCCTAAATAAAACAAATTCTCACCTCTCCAACCATTTTTACATCTTCCCGGCCATACCAGTCAGGCTCATATACTTCATGTAGAGACTCTGTAAGCTTCGTTGAAGCATCTTGCATACCTAGAATGTTGAGCACAAAGAACCCATTGTTAACAATCGCTTATGTCATGAGGGAATTATTACTTCATCTAGCTTAGGAACTGTCAGTGTTGACGTGATTCAGCAAAACACTTCTTGTTCAAGCTGCCTTTGGCCATCCTTCACCTAGCAGAAGCCACTCCAGAAGGTTATCTGAACTGATCTCAGCTAGCTGGTCATTGTAAGAAGAGAGCTTGTTTTTTTCTTTTTTTATTGTTTTGGTCCTTCCTGCTGTCACTAACAGAGAAGCAGAAACAAATGGGTTGGGAAAATGGGTTCCTCCCCCCACGCCCACCAATGGTTGATATTGGTTGTCACAGAATAGAATTTAGGACTGAGATCTCACTGAAAGGGAAATTTGAGGTTCCCAATTCTATAATTCCCTGCAAACACAAATGAGAATAGCAGAGGGGAATCACTGACGAGTAAGAGGGGGTGCTTAATCCACATATGCATTTTGATTCTTCCCTATTCCCCAGATGATTTAAACTATTTTGATTCTTCAACCAGATTTCAAAATCAGAAAGAAAATTACCTCAAGTGGAGATGTTTGTAAGGAGAAAAGGATGACATATTAAACATTCCCCTCACTTCTACCTGCAATTCTCCCCTACACATGTCTCAGGCTTGACATTACGTTATCACACACTGTCACGTTCCTAGGGGTTCCAGAAGGCAAAAGTCCAACAAGCCAGTCCATTATCAGAAGTCCAGAAGATACAAACAGATGCCAAATTGCCAAAGCCAAAAACACAAACCGTAATCAGAAGCCAGAGTTCAAAGCCAAGGGTCAAGAAAGCAAGGTCCAAGATAAGCATGAGTGTGGATGCAAGCCAGAGTATTGACTTGTTGCTTCCACGCCTTTTGGGTGCAGATTATATAGCAGCAGTCATCAGACTCCTAGAAGCCTTCCATCCTGTTAAAACCCAGGACTGGTTGACCTGATGTTCCTGTGGGAAGCATCCATGCGACCTTCAGACCTTCATGTCATGAGTCTTTGCAGAAGCTTATCCCTCACTCTGGCTACTGGGGGAGGAGAATCTGGTAATGATTCAGTTGTCTGCGATTCTGATTGCCCAGCATTATCTTCAGCTGTAATTAACCCCTCATATTCCAGATCTTCTTCGGCTGAACTCATGACACACACACACACACAAATAAGCTTGGGGAGATGTTCCTTCCATTATTATATAACACACTGTCACATTAATATACCATACTCTTGGGGAAGGAAGGTTTCAGTTTAGGTTTAGGGGGGTGTTTGGTACTTAAGTTGTACCATTTCTATAAGTAAGCAGTGACATTTAGCACAAGATACTTCAGGATGTGTTAATGGGCCAGTAATTACATATCAACAAATGAGAAACAGCAAACACTGGTTCATGCACCCATTTAACATCAGACCAACCAACAGCTAGACCTTCACTGCCCATGTGGGCACTGTGTATATAGTACATACACTGGTAAGTGTCTGTCATTTGTCAGAGTGGAAGGTCTAATCCATTTGCCATTTTTTCACTTGCAGCAATACATGGGTGCTTCACATTACTGAATGCCTCTGAAAAAAAGATACACCCAATAAGAGGACAGCTGAATAATTAAGCAATATATACCTAAACAGGCTTGAGCTGCTTTAATAATAGTTATGTGCTATCAAGTGAATTCCAGCTAATGATGACCCTTGCCAATGTTTTCTATGTGTAAATTATGCATAAGTGGTTTATCATTCCCTTCTTTGGGGAGCACTCTGGGAGTGTGCAGCTTGCCCAAGGCTATAAACTCTGTGTCTTCTCCTAAGGCGCAGTAAGCTGAGCTATCCAGCCAGCCTGGGGGCGCTTTCGGTTAGTCATTTTGTAGACTATCACCATGTTAGCACTGATGTAACCTTTTGGGCAGCAGAGAAATCGAGCAAAATGGAAGAGCCACCTATGGATACTGAAAACCATGGATAATAGTGAGTGTTTTGATATACAGTGGTGCCTCAACTTATGAACGTCCCTACTTACGACCATTTCGAGTTACGACCAGCTCCGGCCGCAAAATCTGTCACTGTGATTGATGGGTGGCCACAAGGACCAGGGATTACTACACACAAAAGACCAGCTAATGACACCCATCAATCACAGTGACAGATAATCTTTCCTCCTTATCACAACAATACACCCACAACAAAACACACTAATCACCCATCTCCTTAAAAGGACAAAAGCCTATTTCACAGCCATATATACTCAACTCCCAAGCAAACTACACCAGAGCACAGAGTGCTGTCCTCTGAAGATGCCGGCCACAGAGACTGGCGAAACGTTAGGAAGAACAACCTTCAGAACACGGCCAAAGAGCCCGAAAAACCTACAACAACCAATTAATTAAATACATTGGTTTTCAACTTACAGCTTTTTAAATGATTCTGAATAATTTTTAAACTTGATTTTTAATCTTAATACATGTTTAATTGCTTTTTTAACTATCATATTTATATAGTATTTTTAAGTCTGTTGTTTTATCTGTTATAAGCCAGAGTCCCCTATGGGGAGAAAGGCAGTATATACGTAAATAATTTATATAATTTACATAAATAAATAAATTGTATTTCAAACAGTACGCAGCATAACAGCTCTTACTCTGTGTGTAGCAACCTGTACACACAATTATCATATAACCATACAGTAACTCTCAATAATTAGCTTGAGGGCTAGCACTAAGGGGAATGCCATGCTTCTTGGAATGTAGAGTGGCAATGTGACTAAGGAATACAGCCACTCTCTCAAATCTTTCTCCCTATATACAAACTCTGTCTTAGGGTGAGGGTACCTGGGTTTGGAGGAGCGGTCAGTAGTTCTATTATCATGGACAGATCACGACCTGGTAGGATGTAGATGTACTAGCAGCAGTAATCAGTAGCACGATAACAAGGATAGTCTGTTGCTGGAGGCTGATCTCTCAAAAGATGAAGCAGGGAGAGACTTCCCACTGTCTACCTTCCCCTGCCAGATAACATTCTTTCTGAACTTCGATAGCTCATTTTGGCATAACTGGCCTGCATGCACTTCACCAGAACTAGAATTTGGCGACTGGTGGAAGCCAATGAAATTTACAGCTTTCATCATATCCCATGCTTGGATATTTCTGCCTTCCTGTACAGCCTAAATGCAATTTGTGGAAACACCCAAAGTACAGTGGGTACAATAAAAATGGGGGGGGGGAGCATCCCTTCCTTTGCTACAAAAGTACTTTTATAAAGGAGGTACGTTATCATTGAATGTTATGAGAAAAAGTTGCTAGTTGTTGCTTTCATGTGGCACCAACTCACTTTTGGCTCACAAGAGAACCCACTGGGTTTCTTGAAGTATGTGAGGTGATTCAAGAATAGATTACTATTGCCATCCTCATAGTGAGTTTCTATGACTAAGCAGGGATTTGTACCCACATCTCCTGAGCCCCAGACGAACACATCATCCACTGTTCCACACTGGCTCAATAGCAGTGCCTTTCCCCACTTTGCCAGCCTTACAACCCCATGTAGATCAGCAGCCTCATCATTCTACCTGAATGTGTAATTTATACACAATCATCTGCTGTAATACAGTGACATCTGCAAACAGCAACTGTATGGAAGCCACTTAAGCATATATTATAATCTTCAAAAAATAGCTGATTAATGAGAGCACTTAACATTTGCCAAAAAAAGGGAGAAAGGAAAAAAAAGCATTTTGATTACAATTACCTTTGATTGCAGCTAAATATCCTCTGAGTTCTTTCTGGAGTCTGGAACCTTCTGCCTAAAATATGAAACAGAAGGGAAATCACATCACATTTGCAACAGAGTGGAACAAACAAAGATAAGTCAGAGAGAATAATTTAATTCCCATATTAATTATATAATCGGTTACATACATACAACATGTATTTTAAAAAACTAAGAAATTCAGCAGTTATTTAATGAGTGAAACATTTGTGTAATTGGTTACTACAGTACAAAAACAATTCTATACTGCTCACACAAGTTATTCATTTCTATATAAATACCATAATGTTGCAGTCACACACTCTAATGGCCAGAGAACTACAAGCATATAACAGCAACAAATGTACTCCTTGCACAGATGAATACTATATTCCTTTTGTTTAATGTAAGAGTTAGGTGCAGAGCAAAAGCTGTGCACACATAAATTGTATTGTATTTGTGAATTTCAGTGGACACACAGTGTTCTTGTGATAAGGAGTTTGTCAAGGAAGAGATCTGAATTAAACATGAGAAGGTCTACATGGAGAGGGGCCCTAGGAGGCAGCTTACATACATCGCTTCTTCTTCACCACCCATTTACTCCTACATGGATTCAGACATAACCCTATGTGAGCCAGCTGCAGCTGGCTGGGGGGAAGGAGCTAAATGCCAGCATGGGCAGGCCCCCTCAGCAACTGCAGAAGGGTTGTTGGCCTTGAAGGAAACACCTGAGGCAGATGAGGGTGGAGGCCCTAAACCCACCCCCAGAGAAACAGCTGTAGCTGAGGTAGATATAGAGGGGAGTGAGCAAGGAGAGGGGAAGGATGCTTAGGAGTTTCCCTCAGCTTCAGGGAAGAGAGAAAATAGTCTGCCGGGGGAGACACTGAAAGGAGCTTCTAAGAAGTCTGCCTCTCTGGAGGACGGCTGGCTTATCTGAAGGAAAGCTGAAAGATAGAAGCTCCCAGGGTTAGCTGGTGCTGCACAGCCTCCTCTGATTGCTGGACACTCTGCTGGGGGACTCAGCTGGCAAAGATTGTTTAACAGTCTGGACCTTTCAGCCAAGATGAGCTGCCATGGGAGTGAAGTAACTCCCTCGAAGCTGGGGCCAGGGACAGAATATTCCCTCAGCCCTGGAAGGATAGAAAGCTACCAATTCTATCCCTGCTGCTTGGGGCTAGAGGCCCCATCCTGCAAAGGACTACAGAGACACAGTTTCTCCTTCGTGTCCTCTGTGAAAACACATTAATGGGTTAATCTGCACCTCAGCAGAGCAGTCTCCGGAAACTCCCACAGCTTTAAGCACTGGCTATATAACTCCGCCCAAGGCCCAGTGCTTCAGTTATTTTTCGGACTGCCGCTATACCAGCAGCTTCATTTGGAACTTTGCAAGTAAAAACAATTCTTTCTTTTTCTTGCCTTCCTTTGTCGCCCTGTCCCTAGGAGAAGGGCCTCCTGCAGCGCCAGTCACCTTCCCTGCCTATCAGTGATTCTCCTGGCATGGGAAGAGCCTCTGCGTGTGACTGCTGCAAACCAACCCTCCTTCGTGCGCCTGCTCATGTATCTGTGACTTCCGGAGGGAGCTGCATGCCGAGGCTGTAGATGTACCAGTATACCTGGCATCGTTCTGAGCCATGGCCTATGGAGTGCTTTGTGCCTCCACATATGCTTCACAGGTGTAGTGCTCCCTTGAACTCAGCTCCAGCAGCACAATGTTCACAGCTTCGACCGAACCTGCTGTTAACCCATTCAGCCTTCTCCGTCCTATAACTGTTGAGCCTGTGCTTGGTCAGGCTCATGCTAGGACAGTCATCTCCCCAGGAGGGCTTTCCTTATTCAGGATTGGGACTCACATGAGTCACAGGGGGGTGGAAGATTTTCCAACCAATCTTCGTACACCCCTCTCGGTTGTCACAGATGGTCACACTCCTTTACTGTTAACAGAGGAGGAGTTCTTTGGTTGGCGTTGTTATTTGTCTTTGGCCGCCATGTAGCCACTTACTCCTCTGCCATGGGGGCTTATCACAGTTTGGTGCTGCCCACCCTGCAGGTAGCTCCTGTGCACCCTTACAGTTCAGGCCTCCCACATCACTAGGAGGCACTGTTGCAGGTGCATCATGAGCGCACTGCTGCTCAATACGCCTTAAAACCAGCATCTAAGCAACTGATGGGTTAGGACCTGCCATTTGTTGGTGTATGGCTTTTTAGTCAGAAAACGGTTGTTATTCTTGATAACCTGCACAGGCTTTAGAAGGCGACACAGTCATTTGCGCCATAACAACTGCAAGAGCCTGAAGATGTTCCCATCAGCATACGGCATCCCGGGAACATTAAATACCTCAACCCCAAAGTTACCAGCCGCCACCCCTAGACATGTGGGCAGGCAGTGCCCTGACTGGCAGAACTGCAGGTAGGACTGCAAAACTGAGCGGTCTTTTTACTTCTCTGTTGTTGACCAGTCAATCAGTTTGACTCCTTGGTAGTATCTATCATAGCTACCAGCTTTGCCACTATCTTCGATATACCCCGTCACAGGCTGCGTTATGTCCACCTCCACCCCAACCCCCACCCAAAAAAAGTAGAGAGAAGGATGGAAGCCTTTGGCCCATCCTTGATTTTGGAGGCCTGAATTCTTTATTACTCTACGCAGTTTCCGTATGGCTTCCTTGGACTCTGTTACTCACTAGTTACATCCAGAGGGTTGGTTTATCATAAGATGCTCGTTTTCATGCTGGCATCTGTTTGGACCGTGACTGCTTTCTCAGGACTTCAGTTGGGGAGATCACTGTTTACCCATGGTTGGTTCACTGGCCCCTGGTCAGAGTCCAAACCACAGGCTTGGTGAGCGCACATCCTTGGCACTGTCTCTTTTGTCAGTGTGAGGACTATAGGTCAACACAGTGAAGCTGACTTTGCTACTTACACACTGTGTAAATTGTATTAATATGCCTTTGGATGCTTTCTTATAGCAGGATTTTTTTCCTGACAACATGTTTGTGGCAATGTTTGGTTATGCTCCTTTTTTCTTCAGGCGCTTGGTTCCTTGCCCTACAGGTCTGGCGACTCCTTGGACTGATGGCATCTTCTGCAGCTATGGGACAGCTCTCTTGACTGAGGCTGCAGTCCCTTTAATCCTGGTTTCTTTCACTTATTCAGGTATCTTGCAACGACCGATCCATGTTGCTCCAGGTGACTCCGGAACTCGCTGCACACCTGAATTGGTGGACCCTCCCTCCTCACACCCTACAGTTAGGGAGACCCTTTGGTCTCTTGACCCAGTTGGTTTGGTCAGTAGCGGATGCCAGCCCGCCAGGCTTGGGGGGCTTGTCTACGACACCACGTTGCCCTTGGCCACTGGTCCATGATGGTAACCATCCTGCATATTATTGTGCTGGAGCTCCTGACACTCACCAAGGCCTTTGGGGCCTCTGAGTCCCTGCTCCGGAGTTGGGTGGTCCAGGTTGCATCAGACTCTACCACCGCAGTTTCTTATATGGACACGCAGGGTGGCACTCACTAGTTACGCCTTCTTTGGAATGGTGTTATGCTCACCACATTTATCCAGTGGCTGTACATTGGGTAGGTGAGAACAATTCCATGGCAGTCCATCTCAGCAGACTACAGTCCTGCTCTCATGAGCAGGCTCTTGACTGTTCCATCTTTCTTTGCCTCTGTCATTGATGGGGGACTCTAGACATTGATGCTTTCGCATCTCGATTGAACAAGTAGTATGCCATGTTCGGCTCCTCAGCTGGTGAAGGCCGCACCTCCCTAGGGGATGCCTTCCTGACCAAGGGGCATGGGGCCTCCTTTACTGATTTCAACCTTTTCCCCTCTTCAGGGCCGGTTGTTCGAGTCTGCCATGGATGTGCAACCGTCCTGCTTGGTTGCGTCACTAGCCTTGGTTCTCGATCCTTCTTCCGGGACCTGCAGGATACAGTACATCACATCGAACATGGTCCCTCACCTATGGTCTCAGGATACGGATGGTTGGTTCATCCGGGTATCGGGTTCTCCTACCTGTCAGCTGGGAGTCTTCCCTGACAGTAATGGACGTGCACCATCATCTTGGCATACCTTCTACCACCTTGACCTACTCCTTTCATGAGCAGGTGTTCTGTCCCTTTGCATCAAGATGACATTGGCCTACTAGGCCACTATCTCTGGACACACTCCTTCAGTTTCTCCTTCACTTGTTTTGCCTGGCACTGGCCCATTCTACCTGCAAGCTATTTCTCCGTGGCCCAGAGAATATGAGCCCTGCCTATGGACCGCTGACACCTCAATGGTCTCTCCAGTTAATTCTTTGGCAACCCTCCAGGCTGCCTTTCTCCTGGCAGTATCCTTAGCTTGCAGGGCTGGAGGACTGGCTACACTAGGAGCCGGTCCTCCTTTCTGCAAAGTACCCCTACGGCCAGGCCTTACCTTCTTGCCTATGGTATTTTCTGCCTTCCATCTGAACCAGCCAGCTGTCCTTCCTGATTTCTTCCCCACACCAACTTCACTGCTTGAGACAGCTCTGCACGCTCTGGACATGCAGCGTGCTTTGTCATATTATGTGCATGGCACAAGCACTTTTTGGGCCTCACAACGTTTCTCTGTCACCTTTGCTGGCTCTCCTTTGGCACACCGGCTTCCTCTTAGACCATGTCTAGCTGGATAGTCCAGACCATCCGCCTTCCCTATGATTTGGCAGAGACTCTTCTTCCAAAATCAGTGAGAGCTCACTCTGCTAGAGCTGTGGCATCATCAATGGCCTTTCTCTGTCACATGAACATCGTGGTTGTCTGCTGCGCTGCCATGTGTGCCACTCCGTCTCCCTTCATCTTGCACTACCACCTGGCTATCCAGCTGAAGGTTCAGGCTGCGGTAGGGCGAACTGTCCTGGTATCTGCACTTTTGTGACATCCCTCCTCCTGGTTGGTCAGCTTGCCAGTCACCCATTAGTGTGTATTCGCAGAGGACATGAAGAAGGAAAGAGGTTACCTACCTGTAACTGGTTTTTTGAGAAGTTTTCTGTGAATTCACACATCCCACCCACCCACCCCCACTGTCCCT